CGATAAAAGGGGGACAGACGTGACGAGAAGGTAAGGTTGGACGGATCCAGGGTTCTGACTGGGAGGTCATCCTCGACCAAGCCATCAAAATGGTGGTCTAGGCCCCTGTGTAGGCCTTGGTTGGGCAGACGACTGGCCGAAGGGCTGCTGTTGTTGCCTCCTCCTGCCCGTTCTTGGCCTTCTGCGCAAGACGTCCCCTCGATTTTGAGGCTGGTACGGCCGAGGGGCCTGCGGTGGCCTAAACTGCCTACGCTGAGTGACAGGGGTGTGAAGGCCTAGTGAACGGAGAGTGGTCCGTGAGTCCTTCAGGCTATGAAGCCTCTTATCAGTTTTCTCCGAGAAGAGCGTGGGCCCTTCGAAAGGGAGGTCCTGAATCGTTTGTTGGACCTCGTGAGGGAGACCGGAAACTTGAAGCCAGGCTCCACGCCTCATGACCAGGCCAGTCGCCAACGTGCGTGAAGCTGAATCGGCCGCATCCAGGGCCGCCTGGAGGGAAGCCCGGGTAATCAATCTCCCCTCCTCAATCAGGGCTGAAAACTCAGTTCGCGACTCCTGCGGAAGGAGGTCCGTGAACCTAGACAAAGCCAAGCACGTGTTGTGTCCATACCGGCTCACTATGGCTTGCTGATTGGCAATGCGCAACTGCAGGCCCCCCGTTGAATACACCTTGCACCCGAACAGGTCCAACTTTTTGGCCTCTCTATTTTTAGGCGTAGCCCCTTGAAAGCCTTGGCGTTCCCTCTGGTTGGCCGCATCAACCACTAGGGAGTCCGGGGGAGGACGTGTATAAAGATGTTCATAGCCCTTGGTTGGAACGAAATATCGCCTCTCAGTCCTTTTGGCCGTAGGGTCAATGAGGCGGGGGGTTTGCCACAAGGTGCGGGTTGTGTCCGTAATGGTCTTTATGAGAGGTAGGGCTACCCTGGATGGGCCTGACGGGGTCAGGATATCAATCACCGGATCCATGTCCACCTCGATCTCCTCAGTCTGGATCGAGAGGCTTTGGGCTGCTCGAGTAAGCAGTTGTTGGAGGATCCTATTGTCCTCCAGGGCCGGTGCCGCTGAAGTTCCCGCTACTGCCTCATCCGGAGACGAGGAGGAAGAGATCCCTTGAAGAGGGCCTTCATCTACCCCCTCTCCCTCTACGAGGGCCTGCCGCACACGGTACTCAGGCTGCGCGGCCGGTGCAGACTCGGGATGCGGCACCGCAGCCAGTACCGGGGTCGACACCGAGCGACAAGGCGTGCTGGACGGTGCCTGCGGTGTTGGGAACAAGGTCCCCATCGGTGCCGTTGTCTGGCTAGGCGGTGCCGTGTCCCTTTGTGGCACACTCCTGTCAGACGGTGGTGCCGGTGGTGGTGGCATTAGCGGCGGTGCCGCGGATGTCGAAGACACAGACGCGGCTCGTGAGCGGGGTCCGTACGCCTGACCCACTGACTGGTGGTAGGCCCACGGTGTCCAAAAAGGCCACTGAGGGGGCGGATGCCACTGCTGCTGCTGCCACTGTGGTGGGTACGGTTGGGCACTCGTACGCGAGGATGATCGCCTACTTCTCGATCTGTTAGAGCGGTACGAGACTGCCTCCGAGTCCGAAGTTTCTGAGTAGCAGGACATAGGAGGCGCGGTACCCACTGTCGCCGTAGAGGGTGCTGTCTGCACCGGTGCCGCTAGAGTGGCACGGCGCGGGGAGCGCGGCGAGAGCATTGCCGGTTTGCCCCTAGATTGATAATGGGGCCGAGCGGTAGCCGGAGGATCTCTGCACTGGTGCGGCGACGCTGGCACCGGGAGGCTTAAGAGGTCTGAGGCAGCCTCGAACGCCTCCGGCGTCGATGGGAGGCGCACTTCCTTCATCATGTCTGGGGATCTAGGCTTTTCCGGACTCGACCGTACCCTCTCAGGGGCGGGAGTCAACGGGATGGCCGGATGGGTCTACGGCGCAAACTGTCCTGTAGTAGACGTGGACAGCGCCAGCCCTTTAGCGTCCCGGTGTGGAGAACGATCCCTCACCGGCCTGTTCTTTTTAACCGGCACGGGCGATGGGGCATGAATTTCTTCGGCATGAATTTCCCGCAGTCCCGGCAGAGTTTGAACCCTGGGGACCCGGGCATGCCCCAGCGGGGTGACGAAAACTTGGGGAAAACCCCCCAACTAACACTAACTAAGCTAACAACAAACTAACTAACTATTTACAACAACGATTGAACACTGCTACGATTGCTGAAGAGCAAGCGAAGTTCCAGCTAGCCGTCACCGGCGGTAAGAAGGAACTGAGGGGGTGGGGGGTTGGCTGGCCCCTATATACACTGCCATGAAGGCGCCACTCCAGGGGGCGCCGAAGCCGACCCTACGGACGCTGCTATAGTAAAATCTTCCAGCTGGCGTGCACGCGGCGCGCACACACCTGCTTGGAATGGACATGAACAATCACTCGAAGAAGAACTACTCATCCAGTGACCAGTATATTTGCCCTCTACCAGACTCCTGTACCCCACTGGTCTGGGTCTGTCACAGTATACTTATCTTTTAACCATACTCTCTCTCTTTTCTTTTTTAATAAATTTTAGATTAGTTAATAAGAATTGGCTGTAAGTGTGGTTTTGGGTAAAATCTGGAATGTTCATTAACCTGGGAGGTAATGTGTCCGATCCTTTGGGATTGGTAGAACCTTTTTTTTTTTATATGACGAAATAAGATTTTCAGTAATCTTCATCATTCTTGACTTGGGTATCTGGGTGGAGGCCTGAGGCTGGGTTACTTTAAGGGAACTGTGTCGTTGGCTTCTGGGTAACCAGTGAGGTAATAAAGAAGCTGTTTTGTGCTGGCTTGTTAAATCTAAGTATTAAAATATCCACCAGCTTTGGGGATTGTCTGCCCCATTCCTTGCAGTTCACCCTAATTGAGTGACCTCAGCTGGCTCTCTCGGGACCCTGGTCACAGTGGGAAATGAGAAAAGGTAACCAAGTCCTCTGTTTTGCTTTAGGACAGCTTTCTTCCCACCTTCACTTGGACAGTAGAACTTTCAGGTCCATCATTACCAGATCAGTATTTCTGTAATTATCTTATAGACTTGGGTCTCAGAAGTTGTGAACTTTAGGATTAGGCCCTCAATCAATAAGACACTGGCTACGCTTCAGGTATTTAGTACCCTGAAGATAGTCTCAGCACCCTTAGGAACTGGCTAAGACAGAGAAATGGTTTCTGGTTGCTGTGAAGTACATCCAGGTAAGGACACTGAAATGTGGTGAGCCCCAACTAGTGTCATATCCAATCCCTATTGGGATTCTCCCTTCTCCAAGCTTGTCCTCTCCATGTCACATCTGCCTTCAATAACATTTCTAGCCCAATTCCTCAAGCCACGAACTACCCTGAGTGATGAGACACAAAGTAGATTAGAGGTGGGAAAGAACTAGCACATTGCCAAGTAATGTGAAAAGTAAATGAGAGTGGGACCCAGCAGACTACACGGAGACAGGCAGGGGCATGATGCTTGCTGGGGAGTCCTAACGTAATTTAAATGTATTATTTTGGGTTTCTTTTAAAGACAAAGTCTTTCAAAGAATTACAAAGTACATATGACTAATCAAAAAACAAAAACAAAAAAACCAAAACCAAATGTTAAACAGCTCATACATAGGTTTTCTGATCCGTACATACCTACTTAGATGATTTCGTACTTAGGTATGTGGAAATCAACAATGTTTAACAAGAAATTAGAGTGCCTTTTTTGAGTCTAATGAGGAAATACATATGGTGTGGAGTTAATTTAAAAATATTTTGCAGGTGTTGTGAATTATAATTTATGTGATTCCATAATTTAGGCTGTAATATTGTTAATACAAAAAGTTGTATTAAAACTTATGAAAAGATCAGTGCATATGCACTAGCGAGTAGCCAGATTTAAAGTGTTAATGCAATTAATTTTAAAATTAAACGAAACAGAAGGGCTTTCTCTGTATTACGAGTAATCTGTTTACATGCAACATTTCAATTAAGTACATGTCCTAAACTGATAAAAATACTATTAGCACCGGGATTTTAATATTTTAATTACTCCTAAATTTTTAAGGCCAAGAGGGGCCATTTTGAAACCGTCTGAGCTCCTGTACAATATAGGTCCTTAGAACCTCAGCCAGTAATTTCTGCATCCAGCCTGTAAACCCATAACTTCTGTTTGAAGTTCTAATATATCATTATTATTCATATAGCAGTCTGTATATGTCTGAAACTCTATACAACATACAAGAAAGAACTTGCCCCAAACAGTTTACAGTCAAATTCACAGAATTATGATAACACAAGTAACAACTATTCAGGTGCAGTGTTGCAGATTTTGTCTTGTTGGCTTGTCAATGTTGCCTTACTCACAAAGCCAACTATTACTAGGTACTATTGTTAATAAGTAATTAAAAATGGTCTATGCTAGCAAAATTCGGTTACAAATTTATAGATAAACTTTCAAACAAATGTATTCTCATTTCAACAACAGAAATTTCTCACTACATCTTGTAAACTGAAGCCAAATTCTCTATTTCAATATATTTTATTACTGAATCTGCCTTTTATTTAGATGTGTAATGATTTTCATATTTAGAACCACTGAAGTCAATGGGGCTCCTTCTGGGTGCATCAGACTGCCCAGACAGATCACAATGTAGGACTGGGGCATTAATTAGTAAGAAAGAAGTTTACAGTCATAGAGTGACTGGCCCTTTCACAGGTGTGAATAGGAAGGTAGGGAGAATACAAGGAGCCTCCCTTCTTCCTGCATGCTCCAGGCATGCAAGGACCAGTTACAATCAAAGTTCATGTGCCCTGGGCTCTGTACCATCCTTACACAAAGTTGTGCCTTAAAGGTACAATTTAGCTTTCACTTAGTCACTCCTTAGGAACCGCCAGCTACAGTACATAATTAAGCACACTGAGTAGAAAAGCTCATTCTATGATACACAAGTAGGCAAATATTTGCAGTGAGGAGGATGCCAAATATAAGAAACACATACCTTGTTCATAAAGTAAAGTCATGTTTGTATTTTTGTGGGCAACCAGATTATTCAATAATGCAATTATACTCTGCATGGTATTACCCAGCACACTGTCCTGGTGCTCCTGTAATACAAATAAAATTAAACAACAAATAAAACATCTTCCAATACATTTTCTTATTTCAAGTTTAACAGTAGACTATTTCCTTGCAAAATGTAATGGGAAATATTATCCAATTCCTTTAAAATTTAACTTAATGATTACAGCAGTGACAATTACAGTAACATGACCTCTTACAAAGGTTGTTTAAGAGGATATTACCTGCACTAAAACCTCAGATCTGAACTTCACATGTGCCATTTTGTCATAAATGAGTTGGGAAAAAAAAACTGGATATCCCTGAACTTTTAGATTTGGATTATAACATTACCAACCTCTAATCACCTCATATTCAGAACTGATGTATATTTTCATTGCATTACATTTCTCATACAGACTGTTCTCATTCTATTTAGCTTTAGTTTGAGGTGCCACAGAAAGCCAAGAGATTCTTTTGTTATTTTGTGACTAAATACACCAGGGGGCAAGATTTTTCATAAATGCAATATTAAGGTTAATATTACGGCTGTCAAGCGATAAAAAAAATTAATTGCGATTAATCGTGCTGTTAAACAATAATAGACTCCCATTTATATAAGTATTTTTGGATGTTTTCCGCATTTTCAAATATATTGATTTCAGTTACAACATGGAATACAAAGTGTACAGTGCTCACTTTATTTTTTATTATAAATATCTGCACTGTAAAAATAAAAGAAATAGTATTTTTCAATTTACTTAATACAAGTACTGTAATGCAATATCTTTATTATGAAAGTTGAACTAACAAATGTAGAATTATGTACCAAAAATAACTGCATTCAAAAATAAAACAATGTACAACTTTAGAGCCTACAAGTCCACTCAGTCCTATTGCTTGGTCAGCCAATCGCTCAGACAAACAAGTTTGTTTACATTTGCAGGAGATAATGCTGCCTGCTTCTTGTTTACAATGTCATCTGAAAGTGAGAACAGGTGTTCGCATGGCACTGTGCCAGATGTGCTAAAGATTCATATGTCCCTTCATGCTTCAACCAATATTCCAGAGGACATGCGTCCATGCTGCTGATGGGTTCTGCTCGATAATGATCCAAAGCAGTGCATGTTCATTTTCATCATCTGGGTCAGATGCCACCAGTTGATTTTCTTTTTTGGTGGTTCGGGTTCTGTAGTTTCCGCATTGGAGTGTTGCTCTTTTAAGACTTCTGAAAGCATGCTCCACACCTCGTCCCTCTCAGATTTTGGAAAGCACTTCAGATTCTTAAATCTTGGGTCGAGCGCTGTAGCTATCTTTAGAAATCTCACATTGGTACCTTCTCTTCGCGTTTTGTCAAATTTACAGTGAAAGTGTTCTTAAAACAAAGAACATTCTGGGTCATTATCTGAGACTGCTATAACATGAAATATATGGCAGAATGCGAGTAAAACACAGAGCAGGAGACATACAATTCTCCCCCAAGGAGTTCAGTGACAAATTTAATTAACGCATTATTTTTTTACTGGGCGTCATCAGCATGGAAGCATGTCCTCTGGAATGGTGGCCAAAACATGAAGGGGCATACGAAAGTTTAGGATATCTGGCACGTAAATACCTTACAACGCTGGCTACAAAAATGCCATGCGAACGTCTGTTCTCACTTTCAGATGACATTGTAAATAAGAAGCGGGCAGCATTATCTCCCGTAAATGTAAACAAACTTATTTCTCTTAGCGATTGGCTGAACAAGAAGTAAGACCAAGTGGACTTGCAGGCTCTAAAGTTCTGCATTATTTTGTTTTTGAGTGTAGTTATGTAACAAAAAAAAATCTACACTTTTAGTTGTGCTTTCACGATAAAGAGATTGCATTATGGTACTTTACTCCTGGGGGGAATTCTGCACCACTGCACGTGTGCAGAATTCATGTTCCCCGCAGTTTTCTTTGCTTCCCTGCAGAAAAATGACTTTCTGACAGGGAAGCAAAGGGAAGCTGCAAGAGCAGTCACACATCACTCCCTAGCAGCACAGGTACAACGTTTCAGACACCGAGAGCAGCTGGTGGAGATATAAATCACCGCAGGCCTGGGGACACCCCAGCCAGTGGCTCCTACCCTGAGATGGGATCAGCTGCTAGTCCCGGCTGGGCTGGAGGCAGGAAAGGACGGGACTTCCTTTTCCTCTGCAAGGAATGGCTGCGGCTGTGTCAGACCCACCCCCAAAAACCTCCACCAGCTGCAGGAAGCTCATCATCCTCCCCTGCTTCCTGCCCCCATCACTCCTCAGCTGTGGGGGGAGGGGTCACTGTATGGGGAGCTGCTCCCCCATTCACCCAACCCCTGTGCATCCAGACCTCCCATACCCAGACACCCCCGCCAAGCCTCACCCAGTACATCCAGAACCCCCCTAGCTCTCCATACCCAAACCCCACCCCACTGAACCTCAACCCCTGCATCTGAAGCCCCCCTATACTCAGACCCTCTGCCTCCAGACCCCCACCCCTGCACCCAGACCACTGTTCACTGAGCTCCCTGCATGCAAATCCCCACACTGAGCCCCCACATCCAGACCCCAACACCACTGACCCCCAACTAGCTGCACCCAGACCACCACCGCACCAAGCCCCACTCTCCCAGCACCCAGACCCGTCTGCTGAGTCCCGACCACCTTCACCTGGAAGCCCCCACAGAGTTCCATTGCCCCTGCACCTGGAACCTCCCTAAGGAGCCTCTGTGCATCCAGATCCCCCCATACCTAGACCCCCCACTGAGCTGCCTGCACCCAGATTGTCCCACACACAATCCTCTCACCCCACTCCTGGATCCCCCCACACTGAACCCCTCCTCACTTGTATCCTGCCTGGTTGAGCCTGCCCCACATCTTGCGCACCTTGAGCAGAGGGGCAGGGCCCCAGGGTGTTTCTGGGACAGGCCCAGGCCTTGTGCTGTGTCAGGGTCGGGTGAAGCCTCACTGCTGAGTCCATGTCCTTGAGTTGGGGGGTGGAGGGGGGTTGCAGGGTGATCTTCCACCTTCGTGCAGCCAGTGGCCTGTGCTCCCCACTGCCATGCTGGAGCCTCTGCATTTGTTTATTGACAACTAAAACTTGCAGAATTTTGAAGAATTTTAAAATATTGTGCACAGCATTTTTAATTTTTTGGAGCAGAATGCCATCAGAAGTAGGTACATGTATGAGGTGAATTGAAAAACACTTTCTTTTGTTTATCATTTTTACAATGCAAATATTTGTAATAAAAATAATATAAAGTGAGCACTGTACACTTTGTATTCTGTGTTGTAATTGAAATCAATATATTTGAAAATGTACAAAACCATCCAAAATATTTAATACGTTTAAATTGGTAGTCTATTGTTTAACAGTGCAATTAAAACCGCGATTAATCGCGACTAATTTTTTTTTTAGTTAAATGCGTGAGTTAACTGCGATTAATTGACAGTCCTAGTTAATATATAATACATGAAGGACACCCATATTTACATATATAGTTTCATGATTCTCAGTGAGGCTCATTGTTGACAGATTGTTTCAGTGAAGTGACAGAATATTTTGACTCTATATTGCTAAATTCAAGGTGTTCTTGATCATGAGAAAAATGTTTTGTCTCTACAGTCCTGCCCTTAAAAATATGCTGTAATCAATCTGAAAGGTGTGAAAAATTGTGGTGTGATCAGTAATAGTTAGCTTGACAACTAGAAACTAGTACAGGAACATTATGAGCTTGTGACAAGGGCGGTGTCAAATCTGTGCCAAATATAAATACAAAGAAAATATTTTAAATCTCAATTGGGATGTTCAAAAAACAGTGGGTTGAATGTGTGCTCAAATGGGAATTATTTCTGAAACTCTGGCTAGTGTCATTAGTATACAGATGACATGCAGCAACATTTCTTCTTTCTACCAGAAATGGATGATGCGGGGTCAGTTTTTGCTTGCTTCCTAGCATTAGGATTTGCATAAGAGTAAACTAGCTGAATCTTAATTTGTACAAATCTGAAATAATGACAGTGGGTTAGAAGCAGGGAAAGGATTTCAAGAATATGGTGAAGAGGACTTCAGACCCCATTAAATACAGGGTTTAGCCATGCAATTTGCAACTAGATGCTCTAAGACAGTGGTTCTCAAACTTTTATTCTGGTGACTCCTTTTACATAGCAAGCCTCTGAGTGCGACCCCCCTCATAAATTAAAAACACTTTAAAACATATTTAACACCATTATAAATGCAGGAGGCAAAGTGGGGTTTGGGGTGGAGGCTGACGGCTTGCAACCCCCCATGTAATAACCTCATGACCCCCTGAGGGGTCCCACCCCCCAATTTGAGAACCCCTGCTCTAAGACCACAGTCTTCCTCTGGAATCCCAGCTAGTTCTGGGGGCCAAGAGCAACTTAATCTCAGCTACCTCCTCTGAATAGACATCTGTGACCTTCTCTCTCAGGTCTGCTATTACCACAATAATGGCAATATGTCCTACTTTGGGATATTCTTGATGACCACTCAGATGTTACAGATGGTGCTGAATGCAACTGGTTGACTGTAAGCTAGTAACAGTCACAAGGAATATGTTACTGCTTTTCTTAAAATAGTTCCTTCCTATTCAACTTCTGGGTACAATTCAAGTTGTTGTCTCTTATCTATTAAAGCCCTGGATGGCTTGGGTCCCCACTATCAGAGAGACAACCTCTCTTTCCACATATTATCATCACAGCATTTGAGATAAGGTAGAGCATTTGAAGGCCTAGATGTAAACATCATGTGGTTAGTAGCTGGGAATTCTTAGTGGGGGTCTCTTGACTCTGGAACTGACTTTCCTCAAGGGTCTGCTGGACTTTAGGATACAATGCAAAGCCTAAAATATAGGCTGATATATTTAAATACAATGTTGGAAAGTATAAATGTAAGCTCCTTTAAAAAAATAAAGTAACCAAAACAGAAAAATGATGTCATACGGCAATGCTATTGAAAAGCAATTTTGAAATATATTCTTAGGGGGACTTCAAGTTTTCAGATAAGCATTACTAATACATCAACAA